TCTCTCTCTCTCTCTCTCTCTCTCTCTCTCTCTCTCTCTCTCTCTCTCTCTTTCCCCTCGCTCACCGTTCATTAAGCTCAAACCGGATAAAAAAAAAAATCAGCCCCGAACAGAATATTGTAAAACAACTGAGCGCAGGAACCTGGCATTACAATACACACCTCTCGTCGTCATTTAATCACTCATTTCCTTAGTGCGATATAAGAAATGTCGGCCTTGAAGTAGCTTTTAACCCGAAAGTCCATGATCAGGAACTACAATCATGATCATATGTTTATTATTGATGCATGAAGCAATCTGCTAGCAGAGTTGGTATCATGCTGGACAACGAAGCGGAGGGCATTGGTTTACCCCCCCCCCCCCCCCAAGAGAGCGTTCTTGAATTTTTTAAAAAGATCTCCACCAATTTGGAGGTATCGGCTGTGAATTGACCTAACAGATGAAAGGAGCGTTAAATATATACAATAACCAACCACTATATATAATACATGTCACTACTTTAGCATTACAAAGGCTTATCTACTCAGTACCTAGTTTGAGAAATTGGACGTAAAAAGTATGAGTTTCACAATATATCAGGCTTTTAAATTTCAGTTCTTTAAACATCTTGATAACGACTCCGAATAATGTTACGATTTTGATAGAGCAGATAGAACATTTGGTTTCGGACCTCTACCTCATGGTCTGAGTTTTTAAATTTTTTTTAATAGTAGAGGGTTTTACGGCGCTTGCAACTGCATAAGGTCATATGAGCGCGCGGGACACACCTAATACTTTTAGTTAGTAAGAAATTTTGAATTTTGCCCGGGTGGCGGCCGAAGCCTACTCTTATCGATTTTTGACCACCACGGGATCTTTAACGTGCGCAACTTGCACACGGGCCCTCTGAGATTTTTCGCCCTTGTCCAAGAAGGCTAGGTGTAGATCTTTCCTACCAGAAGATCAGGGGTGTGGCAGAAAGACAGCTGTAAGAAGGAGTCAAGGAGTAGCAGTAGAAAGACTGCAGAAAGAGTCAGGAGCCCAAAGGAGGGGGCAAAGGAGGCGAGGGGGTGGGGGAAGAAAGAGGAGACGAAAGCAGACAACAGAATATTGCTCGAGAGCAGGAAAGGAGGTGAAAGGAGACAATTTTAGAGAAGAAAATTTTTCGGTCGCTGCCTGGATTCGAACCCGGGACCTTTGAATGAGAGGCCAACACCTTAACCTCTAGGCCACGCGAGCCCCCCATGGTCTGAGTAACTAAAAACGGCCAAAAATGTCAGATAAAACTTTGTAATTCTGAGGCAGCGATTCATCTTTTACTCCTGTGTGACGTCAAGTGGGTAAACTGGAGCCTGGATATGCGACTGATGACGTCAGCAAAATAGAGTGAGTCTAGAGGTGCGTGCAATGCTCCAATTGGATGACCAAAATGGTTTGGTTCTGAACACATTGTCAGTGACAGTCACCAATTTCAAACGTCAACAAAGGTGTGTTTTTCAAACCAGAAAATTCTAGCCCTGACAGTTGTGACGTCAGTTCCCCCGACAGTGCCGAGGTTCATTAACAAAATTTCCCAGCCCTGCGCTAAACAGGGGCCCAGACCATACGTCAGACTACCCCTACCCACTCATTATCCTCTTTGCCCCTCATCCCATCCGCCTTTTGTATTTGGTACTTCTTGATTTCTCACGTGTTTCCTTTTCCAAGAGTAATAAACAAACAAACAAATAAATAAACAAACAAGCAAGCAAACAAAAAAGCAAACCAGTAAAAAAATATTTGAAAATAAATAAAATAAACAAATATATAAATTAATTAAAAAAATACATAAATATATAAATAAATAAATCATATTAATAGATAAATAAATAAATGAATAAATAAAAATAAATTCCACTTCTTAGAACCATTGGGAAATGTAAACCATACAAAATCACATAATAATATAAACGTTAATTAATACAGGTCGTTGTATGAGTTGTGGTTGTATAGATTTCTTGTCGTCCCTTTCAACACTGTTAGGTTATTTAAGAGGCAGGACATCTGAATGTGACGTTCATCTCTTTTCGGACCTAGCCAAAAACTCCCAAATAAACAACACCCGTTCAAGAGCGCGTCGTTGACAATTCGAACCAGTGCCGTCCGATACGTTGTCCTTCATGATACCAACTGTGCTAAAAAAAAAACCCGCCCTAAATCAATACATAAATACATGAATAATACACAACATGACAAACATAAACAAACAACTATACGGGACCAAAATGCTGGGCGTTGGTGTGCACGCGATAAAACTTCATCTGTTTTAGAGGAGGGGGGGGGGGCAAAAAGGAGGCAGAAAGTGGAGACGAAAGCAGACGACAGAACATGATTAGAGAGCAGGAAAGGTGAAAGGAGAAACATTTTTAGACAATAATTTTTTTTGCCATTTTCAGGTTTCGAACCCCGGATCTAATGAATGAGAGGTGAACACCGTGCGTCTAGACCACCAGAGCCCCTGCCCTGTAGTTCATTCCTCTATTGGGAGACAAAGACAAACAAACACTACAAGACGGTTCACTCCTCTCTTTGAGATACTTTTTATACTCTCTGAAAACATTCTTAAAGGTTGTCAATGGTGACAAGCCGATGGTACTAGTCGCAAATCGTGCTAGTCCAAAATTAGGTCAAGATTATTTCTTTTTCGGAAAAGATGGCTTGCAAAACCGTCTTGCGTTAAATTGTCTTAGCTGTTGCAAGCTGACGGAGGTGAACAGTACGGAACAGGACGTCAGTGTAAACCATTAACAATATTTATTATATTACTATACCGCAAACCATTTATATACCTCGTAAATTATATTCAATGTTTGCACGCTTCATACCTTTCAGCCTGGTACGTTTTGGGATTGTCAGCGTCAATGTACATTACCAAAGCGCATTTAATGATTTCTAAAAAGAATTACATGCATTATATATTCACAGAACAGAAGCAAAATATTGTTTTTAAAAGGGCAACCTTTTCGAGAAAAGAAACATAATATTTTTACCAGTACCGGTGGCTTCATCTATAATCATTCTCGTGGGTTGCCGAGGACGCCCCCCCCCCCCAAACCCCCTCCCAGAAAGTTGTCGATATTGTTGGGAATTTTGTTTGGTCTCAAGCTAATCCGATTCCAAGGAAAAAATAATCCTCTTAACAAAAGCGTTATAGCTAAGAATTTGAAGATGTTCAATTTTTGTCCCAATAATGTTGACAGTGATACTGGTAGGGATTATCTTGCTCCAGGAGAATCAATACTTCCTCCACATCTGGAAGAGTTCTGTAACTGGAATTGTAGATGTTCCCCCTCCCCCCCCCCAAAAAAAAATATTCGACACAATTAACAGGAATTAGGAGGCAGGCTGGCTGCTTCTACTCTGCCTGTAAGTCCAACCTATAGACAGAGAGGGGTTCAACTTCCCAGCAAATAAATGAATATACTCGGTAAATATTCTTACTACTAAATATCAAACCCACGCTTTTTTACATGCAACAGCAAAACACCAAACTGCTACACCACAGACACCTGTAGTGTTGGATGAGTTACTGTGATAATATCAAACCTTCGCATGCAAGGCAACGCACGTTCGCTTGTTCACTTTCATTTTTTGAAATGAATAATTAAGAAATTAGCTTATTTGCTACTTTATCAATGGACGTGACTCTCTACATGGCACTCCTGTAGGCCAGCCACCAAACACAATTTAAAAAAAATCTTGATCCAGTGAGAGCATTAAAAGGTTTCTTTATTTGGCACCTAGATCTATATAAAAAATCTGCCCTTTGGGTGCTTACAAAGAATCACTACATACAATAAATTATTTACAGCAGCCTTGCCTTCAACTTGCTCATTTTGAGACGGCAACACTACCCGGCCTTATCATTTCAGTCTAAGCTTATAGATTTCGTTCCAAACTGTCTAGACATCTCCGCAGAAGTCTTGAAAAAGTACGTATTTAGAGGCATACGTTAAAGTGTGGTGTATATAGCAAAATGTGTCAACTTTTATGATTAAGTATCTGTAAACCCTTTATTAATATTTTACCAGCAGCGGGCGTACATAAAAGAAAATATGTTAGTACCGCAGTTTGCAATGACCTTCATTAATAGGGTTTTAGATTCTGTCAGTCATCCAACGTTCAGACCCGCATGCAAAGACATGGGAAGATTGAACAGGGCGATTTTTAAAATCTTGTTTTAA